ATGTATATGCAGAACAATATGGTGTGTGATCTGCAAGCATCTCGGGCTCTTCTCCTTCGAAACAAAAGTACCTTAAACATAAACTGAAAACCGTAAGCACAAAGCTTAGTGAGGTCTCCAAAATACCCACATACCATACATATCAAACATGTAGTTAGCCCCGCCCGACATCAGGCCCCGTCCAGTAAACATATCAGAAAACATACATGCAGAGTCACACAGACATATAGCATCCTAATCATAACAAAGCATGGGAGGAAAATCACGTCTAGATGCTAAATCTCTCAAATAAAATCTCAGTCAGCCGATCCGGAAAATCCTCGTGTTTCTGGAGCTAGCAAACTTGATGAAGAATCTAGATCTAGAACCTCACCACCTTCTTTAACGCACACAAAAGAACACCAAAATTACTTCCAAAGCTCAAGAACACACTATGAGAGGCTAGGGGTTCGATCTTAGGGTATAAAGTGATGGAGGCTGATCAATAGAAGATCCATGGGTGTTATAAGTTGCTTAAATAGGGTACAAACCCAGCGCACGCCCAATGTACTCCCATGTAAGCCCAGTGTACGTGGGCAAACCCGCATTCCTGAAACATGCTAGTACACTAAGCGTACTCATAGAGTACGCCCAGTGTACTAGCTAGGGACCAAAAAGATAGAAATTTTGCATTAAGGGGTTACAAGGAAAACATACCAAATCTCAAATGTTACATGGAGCTCTTGATCCATGGTTTGAAGCACTATATTTTGCCCATACTTCCCTTGTCGGTGTTGCCCCTATAAATGTTGAAGCTACTTCAAACAAGGTTGTTATTACTTGGATGTTGTCGTCCCTGAACTCGTTTTATGACTAATACTCTTGGTGTCTACAATTATGACATTTTTTCCCTTGGTGCTCATAAGCTTATTCAATAGTTTGGTATCCCTTAAAAATCTTTAGTTACCATTAAATTTGTCTATTTTAGTTATCCCTCTTCGGTTTCAAGTTTCTTTCGGGTTTCATATTTTTTATGTACTTTTTTGCCCAACTCCCTGCTAGTTTTCTTTAATATATTCCCATTTCCGTTCAAAAAAATGTATCACTAGAAAACCAACCAACATGTTACCAACCGAACTAAAAAAGTTGGTAGCTAATATGTTTAGTTGCCAACATTTATGGTTGGTAGTACCATACGAATTAAGCAATCTTGGTACGGTAATGATATAAAAATTTAAATACAATGGTCATACTGTACCAACCAATTCATATATATATATATATATATATATATATATATATATATATATATATATATATAGAGAGAGAGAGAGAGAGAGAGAGAATAAATGAGTTGGTTGGGTACAATATTACCATGATATTCAAATTTTTATATCATTACCGGACCAAAATTGTTCAATTTTAGCCCCCTTAAGTGTGAGGAAATAACCCGTGCTCTATATATATGATCAAGTATAATTTCCTTGCATATTTGGCCCCAAAAAGTTAACTTTAACCAACCATAGAGATAGCTTAACGAGGAAACATAACATAACCTAGCATTGGTGACATAATGGAAAATTCTGGTCATTACACTAAGCCTAGAAATACCACAATATGAGGGATTTTCGACATGATAATACATACACAAAAATATTAAAATCGTTCATTGTTTTTCCTTTCGTTATTTAGGGCTAGATACTACTGATTCGACACATTCAATATCAATTCTTAAATTGATTGTTTTATATTTAAGACAAACTCAACACAGAGAATTTATGTCTTAGGACATTGTAAATGTATACCTCGTTCTGTAAAGAAGTGCTTTTGTAATCGGTATTTGAATATGTTTTCCTGATATGTATTCGTGTTAAATTTCAATAGAATTTGTGTATGTTGTACATGTTTTTTTTTTATTTTTTTATAAATTTAGATATTGTTTACTTTTGCCATAACACAATCTATATTACAATTTTATTTTGGAACATAATTTTCCACCAACCGTTACCATCTATAAAAAACATTCTTCGATTGTTTAACTAGTTTATCATCATCTATTTAAAATGTTTTAAAAACTCAAGTCATTTAATTATCGTTTTTAAGTATATATATTATTTTAAACCAACTATTTTATAATCTCTATCAAATTAATATTTGATAATGTGATATAATTTAACGAGTCAAATTCAAATAAGAACTTAAGAATTGTGATAATCAAACATCTATATCACGGACATCCAAATTGATCTGACAATCGGGATTTGTTTTTGGCCCACCATTTTGTGACCGCCTAAAAATCACGTTCGTCGAATAAATTTGACTCGAGCATGGTGATTGAGTCCTTATATATATATATATATATAATATATATATATATATATATATATATATATATATATATATAACTCTTATAATACAGGTTATCAAAATCAATACAGTTCAAGATAAACCATCTATTTTAAATCATATTTACATGAAACTCCCATAATGTTTCAAGTTATATACTTAAAATTGGAATGTGTTGCCTACATATATAACTCTTACAACTTTTCAACTTATGCTCGTTAATTGATTGGTTACTTGAAATATTTTTCCTATATAACTCTTACAAATTTTCACCTTATGCTACTTAGATTATTGGTTAACTGAAGTCTTTTGCCCACAAAAAAACATTATTTCTACGCTTGATTACTTAAATTTGCATCTCTTCCTGTTTTGTTTTTGATATGTAAAGTGTTTGGAAATGGAAAAGAAAGCACGCATAGAGAGAATTACGAAGTTAAGACGATTAAAACGACTTAACATATACAATATTATATATGTAAGTGTGTGGTTTATTTGTGTGGAACCTCCCATTACTAATTTTGGATCTTTATACTAGCATTTGTTTTATTTTTTCCACCTCTTTTTTATTATACAAACAATAAATCATTGAGCTTGCTACAGAAAAAGTTTTGATTCAACAAACAAAAAATCATTGACTAGGCTGAAGCAACTCAAAAAGATGAATGCTTAGTGATCTAAGTCTCTTGTTTATATGTAAATAGTTTATTGGTTTTGGAAAACAAAAAAAAAAAGCCAAAAACATTGGAAAAACTAAAAATCAAAAAGATCCCTTCAAAATATTTTATAGGTAATGTACAACTAAATGAGATACACTCATTTTCCTATAAATTGTTTATTCTTTATGGTTTTTTCATCATTAAATAATGAGAGATTTTGTTCCCATATGGATTAGATTAGATTTGATGATGATATTTTTATTGTAAATGATGAAGCTAGCAGCCTTATAGATAAAAAAAGTGAAGAAACATAAATGGATATGGGTTTGTTAGTTATGCTTACAAATTGAAGGTCTACTTGTAAGAAGTCAAAGACTTGGTGTATATTAGTTTTAATCAAGTCAGTCAACCCAATGCGTAACTTAAAGTTAGTTATGTCATATTTTTTTCATGTAACTAGTCATAATGGGAGCTACATACCTCTCATGACATTATTCTCATAATTGTCCAAAGTAAAGATGATACAAAATAGTTAATATGGCTAACTACTCACTACACAAGAATATTCTTATGATTCTCATTATCTATTTTGTTATTTATATCTAGAAATTAACTTTCTATATGTGAAATATATCTATAGTAGTTCGAAGGTAATGTATTTACCTCACAAGTTTAAACAATCTCCATTGTTGTCTGAGGCCGAACCTGATTGGTCGAACCGAACCATCAACATAAGACCAAACCGAACCATACGGTAGAAAACCGAGCCGAACCATCAGCAGAAGGCCGAACTGAACCTGGTTGGCAGAACCGTATTTACCCGAATCCAAAAAGGGGTCTGATCAGGGATATATATCATCAAGTCCCCCAAGTATGAAGTAGGAGCGAGTCGACATCTGGTCGTGCTTTGGACTTATACTAGTCGCATATGCAATCAAATGTCTTCATGCGCATGTAAACAAGATTAGAGTTATGATATACTTTGTTCAAGACTTTGTGTGATCCTAAAGTGCAGATAAATCAAACGTTTCGAATATAACTGGTTGTATCAAAAAACTAATCATTGATCGCATCACCTTGAGAAGGGAATTGTTCATTAAGTTCCATGAAAAACATATCAATATAACTTTTATATATAATTCAAATGTGAATTACATATAACGTTTCATAGCTTTTAGTAAGCATATGCTAAGTCACGTGTACAAATATATTCATATATGAATATTTTGTGGTACATTTAGTTTATACATTTCATCAAACAATTAAAGTGCATACAAGTTAATTATATAATTATTGTAAAAGCATTCACAAGTGGAATAGTTAAACTTCACATATCAATGTTGAACGATTGATATGAAGTGAATATGTTGATTATCAATTACACAGATACGATGATGTTATGAAGTGGATATGTTGATGATGATCAGTTAAGGAGATCTGATGACGTTGAAGTGGAATTGGTTAATGAGGTTGAATAATTTAGATGTTGAAACATAATCGATCAACAATGGCAGAGATCTAATGGTTTTCAAACAAAATTAGTCGAGTAAGATGTGATAATCGATAATGATGCTATGATTTTGAAGATATGAGATTTTTGACGATCGACGAACTTGAAGATACGAGAAAATAGTTTGTGATTTTAGGAATTGATTTAATTAATACCATAATTATTTATTTGTCTTTTACCCATTAATTATTTTATTTCCAATTAATATATTTGAGAAATGAGTAAACCATTTCAAATAAATGAATATAAATATATAATTACTAATAAATAAAAAAACGTTTATAAATATATTTTTTTATTAATTATAAATAAACTTTTGCGTATATCCTTAGAACAAAAATGTTGAAAAGGGGTAACCATGAGTTTGTAGAAGCCGAGAGCTTTAACAGTTTTACGGTGGGAACAAGTCGATGAAAGGCATTGGCTTTTTGCGAGAACACAGTGTCGCTTTAGTGGCTGGCAAAGATAAGCGGGCAACTCGTCTTTTTCATGCCTCTTTTCTGTCCTCTCCCTTTCTTCTTTTTCACTTTTCTTAGCTATCCTCTTTTGTGCGATCCCATTTTTTTTTCTCACTTTTTATCGAGCCATTAACAAACCTACAACGACAAAGCTGATTTTGTTCGCTTCACCTTATGCTATTGAATATCAGTTTTAAAAGATTCAAGATTTTTTAGCGGTATGTGGGGTTTTCTTGTTGTTGTCTTGTTCCTTGATCGATCATCTCTTTCTTTCCTTTTCCTTTCTCCTAAAAAGATTTTAGCTTTTACTGTTTTGTTTATTTTCTGCTCTGCTTCCAATCAACTGTTGGATTTCACGTGTTTCTGCTCCCATATTTGATTGATTATTCCAACTTTGATCTAACCTTGAAGTGACTCTATCTTAAATTCAAGTTCTCAAATGGGGTCTGTGAATAACTAAGGTTTGATATCCATATCAATCATGTAATAGTATCAGGATAAGATTTGCATGATATCAAGTTGTACTACTATCGAAACAAATTTCACCCTTAATATGGTTATTTGAGGCTTGAAATGAAATGTGGTTTGTAAATTTGTTTGCTCAATTTAGTATGAGCGGATTAATTTCCGGGTTTTATGCTTTATTGCTCCCTTAATCCTCGAAACAAATTTGTTAATCCTGTGAAATTATCAATCAAAGTTTGTCTTTATTGTTGTCTACTGATATAAGTGGTCCATTTCAACTTTGGCAGGTCGTCATCCTTCGGTAAAAGAAAGATTTTCTTGAAGAACTTTGGATCTTAGGGATTAAATCTTTAAATTTAGTTCCAAGAAAGATAAGATAGCAGATAAATAGTGGGTGTGTCTCCAATGGCATAAAAATTTAAAATTTATCCTACACTATGTGAAAAAGCGTGTACTTTATATTGCATCGTCTCCTTATTCACCTCTTCTTGAAAAAAGCTTGCTTATTTTCAAGAAATCTTGAAAGTTGAAACCTGAATACCCCCTCTTTTCTGGTTTGCCATATATTCAGTTTTTCGCACAACCTATAACCCTAGAAGTTGGTAAAATAAGGAATCAAATACACTCCCATACTTCAAATCGCTCAATTTTATCGATCACGATCTGGGATCTTGAATTTGAAGGTGTTAATCGTTTAGCATCTCTAGGGTTTTCAGTATGAAGTTTATGAAACTTGGATCGAAGCCGGATTTGTTCCAATCCAGTAGCGAAAATACACGGTCAGTTTGCGAATTTCGATCCTTTCTTTTTAATTCATCGATGAACTCAAGAACTTGAAACACCAAATCCCGATCGTCTTTTACAGGTATGTAGCAGCTGAGCTCGCTACTGACATAATCGTAAATGTTTGTAACGTCAAGTTTTATCTGCACAAGGTATAAAAACTTCATATAATGATTTGAGAACGATAATAGTGATGCTAATACTAAAAAACTACTTTGTATGCAGTTTCCCCTTTTGTCCAAGAGTGGTCGTTTCCAGAAAATGATGACAATTTCACACGATGAAAACGCCATTGAAATCGATCTCCATGAAATACCCGGTGGGCCTGGTGGGTTTGAGATATGTGCGAAGTTTTGTTATGGAATGACAGTTACATTAAATGCATACAACGTGGTGGTGGCTAGATGTGCAGCAGAGTATCTAGAAATGCATGAAACTATAGATAAAGGAAACCTCGTTTATAAAACGGAAGTTTTTCTGGATTCGAGCATTTTCAGAACATGGAAAGATTCGATTATTGTTTTTCAAACTACAAAGTCTCTTCTTCTTACATCGTCGTCAGATGAATTGAAGATTGTCAATCGTTGTCTTGATTCCATAGCTTCAAAAGCTTCCATGGATCCCTGTAAAGTTGAGTGGTCGTATACTTACAATCGAACAAAATCTGAAAATGGTAACGAAACGCCACTTTATAATGGTGTTAGAAAACAGGTTATGGTTCCTAAAGATTGGTGGGTTGAAGATTTGTGTGAACTTCCTGTTGATTTGTATAAAAAGGTCATAACAACGATTAGGGGTAAAGGGAAAGTAAGCCTTGATGTTCTTGGTGAATCTTTAAAAGCTTACACACAAAGAAGGTTAAAGAATGGTGGCGATGATGTTAAAATCCGTTCTTTGATTGAAACGATCATGTTTCTTTTACCCAAAGAAAAAACGAGCGTTTCTTGTGATTTTTTGATTCAGTTATTACATGAATCTGTTCGTTTGGATTGTGGGGAAACAAGAAGGCGTGAATTGGGTCAACGAATTGGTCAACAGCTGCAAAACGCATTGGTTTCTGATCTTGTGAATCTTGATGTTGATTTGGTTCAAGAACTCGTTAAGATCTTCATGATGCAGGATCAGATTGCTGATAATGGCGACGAACATGGCTTCCTAGAGGTCAAATTCGTTGACTCTGCTTCCAAAGTCAAAGTAGCCAAGCTCATCGATTGCTATCTTGCTGAAATCGCCCAAAAACCCTGATTTGCCATTGTTGAAGTTCACCGATCTTGCAGAAATTGTGTCAACTCTACCTCGGATTTCGCATGACGGAATTTATCGTGCAATTGACACGTTTCTTAAGGTAAATTTAACAAAGTTATAAGAGTTAATTACAAATTGGACCCCGAGTATCACTGTTTTTGCAATATAGTCGCGAGTAAATACATTTTTTTGGCCTCCCAGTATAGCTGGTTTTTTTTTTTTCCAATTTTTTTTTTGTAATTTTGGTCGTAATATGTGGTTTTTCTTACGTTTTTTTGTCACTAATTCAAGTAAAAATACTATTTTTGGTCCCTAAATACAGGGACAAAAACGTCATTCTACAAGGATCAGGGACAAAAATCGTTACAAACTTAAATAAGAACAAAAATAGCAAAAGAAAACTTTTGGGACCAAAATTAGAAAATCAGCTAGACCCAGGGCCAAATTTTCATTTCGCTTGAAAGTTGGGAACGGGCCAAAAAGAAACATTTTGGGCCCAAAAATGCAAAAGAAACATTTTCGGCCCAAAATTGCAAAAAGATACCGGTGGCATATTTGTAATTTGCTTACCTTATAATGAAATTACACAACTGATCTTATATATCTTGAATCTTGTAGGAACACCCTGGGATGAGCAAGATTGAGAAGAAAAGAGTTTGTAGACTAATGGATTGTAGGAAGTTATCATCAGAAGCTTGCATGCATGCAATCCAAAATGAAAGACTACCTTTACGTATTGTTGTGCAGATTCTTTTCTTTGAGCAAATACGAGCCGGGTCCCACTGGAGTTCGAGATCTGGAACAACAAATACAGAAGAAGAATGGGATTCGGTGCCAACAAGTGAAGAACTCAAGAGTTTGAAAGGGGAATTTGGTTCTTTAAGGATAAAAGATGGTGGAAATGGAAACCGAAAGGCAAAAGGAATGGTTATGTCAACAAGGATATTGTCCAAGTTGTTTTCGAGCAAAGATAAGGATAGTGATAATGAGAGTTCGGAAACGTCTGGGAGTCCGAGTCCTTGTTCAACAAATGTACGGGAGATGAAGTCGAATAGTGGTTCAAGAAGTAGGCGGCGTTCGACGTCATAGTGTGTAGATTGTATGACAGTACATACATAAAGCCTAGTACTGTATCTGGGTGTATTAGACTGAGACTGATGTCAGTAGGATAAAACTTGCTTCTGTCGTCTGTGCAAAAGACGTGAAATGTCATGTTATCCTAATCACCGAAAATAGCACTAGAATGGTTGTGTAGTCTTGTCTGTTTTATCTAGTCTTATCCAAGTCCAATCTTGTTGTATCTTGTTCCCGATAACAAATGCAACTAATTGTTAGAATCCGGCCACATTTTTGCTAGAAGCATGTTTTTAACTTTTAAGTGGAGAGGCACAAGTTTTCTTATAAGGTTTCTAGCAGTTCAAGTTGCCTTGCTCAAAAGCTTGATTCGAATCTTATAATTGTTGTCAACTATCATACGTTTATATGTATTAAATTTGATTGCATTGATATGTGCGAAACATTTCACATGAATCATGTGCGATAAAGTAATGAACAATGTTAATGTGTATAATGTCCTATACATTGTATAAGATATATCCGGCCCACATTGGGTCCAGTTTGCGTTGCTCTTTTCCCAATTTTCCGGATCAAATGCCATTTGGTTGGTATTTTTTTTGTTATTGTTTATATTATTAAACTAAATAGTTTTTGTTATTGTTTATATAATTAAGTAGTTTTATAACATACACGAATATAAACGTACTGGTTGTAAACCGTATCATTTACAGTGTACAACAAACAGTCAATGTTGTTCAATTCGTATTCGCTTTCAAATCTCAACAAAAAGCCGAGAAGATTTATGTTCATATCTAAGCTATTCAACCCAAATCGATAAATAATAAACTTTTAAAGAGTACTAGTTGAAATTTTAAAATAAAAGAATAACATGAATAAAAGTAGAACAAAACAAACCCTTACAATAGCGAAAAGCAACAAAGTAAATGGTACTCAACCATTGAATCAACTTTACCATGACTTTGAACATGACTTTGAACAGTAATAAATTCTAGTCTAACCTTTGACTTTGGCTTTGAACATAAACGTGACCTTTGATTTGAGTTTGACTTTCAAAGTTCAGATCCATGGGTATTTGGTACCTTCTGGTGATTGTGACAAAAGAATCTAAATTTCAAGCATCCATTTTATTTTGAAATTTCTTCCTTTTCCACCCAACGTTTAATCCATTATCATGCATGAATTATACTTGAAACGTCCGATCAAAATATTCCTTTTTATTTGTTTTACATGATATTATGATTTTTTGTAATGTAAAACTTATAAATTAAAAAATAATCAACCATACAAGTCATATAAACAAATACATAACAAATTAAATTACAAAAGGGTGACATAAATATGGACTTCACTTTATGTTCACTCTTATGAAAAATCAGATTTGGCTTCTAGATGTTAAAAATTATATCTATTTTTTTACAACAATGAATCCCCAATGGTTATGCTAGTTATTTACATAAAAGTCATTTAAAAAGTTCATCGCCTTTGTTTTTTGCCTTTCAATAATGTAAAAAGTATGTTTAACGGGTTACAAAACTGATGTGGAGACATGTACATAGAGTTCAATTAATATGTTTTGAAAACGCATTAAACCTATAGCAAGAAGCTAACAAACGAGGGCATAGTACAAGCGAAGAGAAGAAATAACAATGAAATACAATTATAAATGAGCAAAAGGTGAATTGCTCCATTGAGCCCAATAACCGTAGCCAATGCCGGTTCTGAAAAATTAAATATTTTCAAAGGCCCATGACGAACAACAAAAAAGGACCCTTATCTTTATGATAATTTTTTATTTTAAAAAATATATATATAATGAAAAAAATTAGGTCCGGTATAGTTGCCCACTTTGACCCCCTCAACGCCCCCATGACCGTAGCCAATATGACTCGTGTTTAACCCAACAGTAACTCATCGGTAATATAAAGCTATTATCAAGTCTGTCGTTTTTGTTGGAGATCACCGTACCTTTTTAAATATCACATCATTCCTTGCAAATCAAACACACCAAATGAGACATAAAAATATGGAGTTGAGAATCGCCCTTTTACGCACACAATTAGCCCAAGAAGCTGTGAAATTTATGAGTTCGAGTATGTTCGGCGAATTGTACTGATTGCCAACCACACCATTTAAAAATTAATTATTGTCCTTCCTTACGAATTCACAGTTATAGAATAGATAATTCATTGTCTCGGGTTCCTTATCACATAATGAACAACTAGGATTGTTCACTTTATTCTTCTAACCGCCAAAGTATCGACCACAAGTATTCTATTTAACGAGGCTCGCCATACAAAACAACGAACCTTCAGAGGAACTGATCTGGACCAACATATCACCGAGCCTTTATATGAGTTTGTTTTGAAATCTATTAACCTGCTTATGGAGCCGACTATGTATCTGCCATATGGATTTATTGTGAACCGAAAGTCGAGATTATAAGAGGAAGGAATCTCTATATTGCCAATTGCCAAATACAGTTGCATGAGTTCTATAACAATTGGTAAAAATTAGTCAGAGTTCGACAGTCAAACTACCGCGAACGCTATGTATTAAAGACCAATTATGGGTAAATTTATGTTTATAATGTATATGAAAGATATAATATTCATAATTACTTTCAGAACGTCTCAAACTGCTCAATAAACCGTCTATCGCTGAGGATCGAATCGAAAATTACCGAAAATTAGTTATATTTGTGACGTTAAAAATAAAATTTTGCATCGAGTATATCTAGGACTAATTTACCAAACCTACGTGTCATATCCATCACATTCTCGTCCGATCTCAGATGGGGAGGAAGACCCATAATCTTTACTCTCACCAGACCAGTATTTGAGGACTTACTTGCGTCCTCTGATAGACCCAACACAAGCCAACTAAACCGCCTATTCCATTTTTCCTCATTTTGTTGGAATTCTAAAGCTCCGCATTGAAGTGAAATTTCAAAATGATCTTTAAACCCCCTGTATAATGAATGTCTATTGGAGGTTTTTCATCTGCATTTAGAAGTTTTGGTAGATCTTTTAGCAGTCTAAATTCGTTTAAGTTGTCGCTTAAACTACAGTGATTCCATGCATCCATAGCTTCAACCTTTTTAAGTAAAACCGATTGAATCTATTGTGGTGGTGGAGGAGGGGGCTGATCCTTCATATTCGATTCACAACCCGCTATCACGCCTGCGAATGTCTTTTCGACTCTGATCTTCTCCCAACGACCCATGGTTGGAGTCGGCTTAACGTAAGACGCTCGTGTAAGGTTTTGCTTTTGTCTGCCTTTCTTGTTTCCTTTCGTACTTTTCCACATCAACTTTGATTATGCAAAGGCCACATTTCACTCTGTTGAGAGATTGTAAAAGATATACGGTATCCTTCACGCCTTCGTATTTGACAAACGCGAAATAGGAACCTCCCTTATCTTTCCACCCCGGTATGTATGTATCGACAAGCTTCCCATAGCTTCTGAAGGAGTTTTTCAACATGAGTACAGTCGCCCCCGCCGGTATATTTGAGACATAGAAGGAGGTAATTCTCTTATCACCTGAAAATTGAAATTTTTTTTCGATCAACTTTTTTCCACTTCCCCTTACTATCCGGCAAGAGCATTTTCAATAAGTTTATTAATTAATATGTACAAAATGATTTTTATCACTCCACCACACTTGGCCTTTGAGCGGGTAACGCCATATGAAATGGCCAGGACAAAAAATTCCAATATATTCAAAGTTATTAAATACCTTCCAAATTTAAAAGATAGTCATGAAGTTAAATATTAATATATTAATAAATAAAAAGAGAATTACAAATATAACCTATTATTTTAATGAATTTTTACAAAATAGCGAAAAAATAGGACTTTTTATAAAATAGTCACACAAACAACAGACGAGACTCACTCATCTACAATTTCGAGTATCATCTGCGATTTCGGCCTCGTGTATATATATATATATATATATATATATATATATATATATATAGGGTTAGGTTCATGTGAGATAATAGAATTTTGTGAGACAAGGAGACCAAATCTTAACCACTTATCTTGAATAATCAAATGCTGAAATTAAATCAGATTAAACCACAAGGGACATAAAGCAGGCGGTGACATTTTTGTAATTAAATGGAACTTTGGGATTAGAATAAGACACGGAGGGGCAGTAACGGAATTTTACATTCTATTTCATTCAGCTTACAAAAATACACTCGATATTCTTCCTAAAAACCCTAGATACGAACACTAAAACCCATTTGATCCAATCTCGATCATCGACATCTTCTGCTTCCTTCACAAATTTGTTTCAGGTTAACCATAAATCTAAGATGATCTTCTGATTTGAGCTCCTTATTACATCAAGGTTTCATCTTTTTTTAACCAAGCTCGTTCGATTAAAGGCATTTTCCCAAATTTCTCTAGAAAAGCCCTAAGAAACTGATTTTGAATCTTCATCTGATCCAAAAATCGAATATATTCCCTTCAGATTTGGATTTAGATTCAACATTTTATTTGTTCTCCACAATATTTAATCTTTCATGTAAAACCCTAGAAAACCTATTTGGATTCTGATTATGAAGCTAGCGATTCTGATTCTGATCATCAAAAATTGGTAGTTCAACACAATATGGTAAGATGAAACCAATATGTCTTTTAGTTTGTTCCATGGATTAAGTTTGAATCACTTGTAAAAACATAGTATTTATATTCAAGTTTGTTTTTTTTTGTTGAAATAATCAACCAGTGATTAATTTATATATTCTTGTAATAGTTCGTTCAGATTTCATTCAGATTCCAAAATCGAATACATCTTCGATTGGAGTTCGTTCGCTAATCTCTTGATAAAACCATAAAAACATATTCTGATTCTTATTTTCAATATATCTATCTTGATTCATTGATTTCATGTGTTTTCTGATTCCAACTTATTCCACTTTGATTCTGATGAAAATTTCATTCTAAAATCTCTCGAGGAAAAATTGATTCTTAAACTAACTTAATTGTTTTGGATTTTGATCCATACTCCATTGTAATTATCATAAAAAACCCCATATAACTGTTTTGGATTTTGATGTTGGAGCTAATGATTCCAATTATCATAAAAAATGGATAGTTCATCAAAATTTGGTAAGATCGAACCAATATCTCATTTAGTTTGTTTTTTATTTCATTATGTATATGCTAGGTTGATTTAATTTATAGATGATGATTATGTGTTGATTTTATTACATGATATAGTTTAATTCTAGGTATTCTGATTTGTTGGTTGAAATTATACTTGTTAAATATTTTGGTTTTATGTTTGTAGTTGCTAGGTTTTAGAGTTTACTGATTTATTACATGATAATTTGTTGATTTTAACATCATGGTACTTATTAA